ATTAAAAATATTATCTATGTCTGAATTTCACTTTTGTAATACCATCCTAAAAATAAAATAGATTCCCTAAGTAGTATGCATTATTACTAAACATGAATTAATCAACATAATTATTAATAAGTTTGAGAATAAAATAAACTTTATGCAATTTATCAAGTAGCATGAAATACTTTACACTTATAATAGTTGGACATATTTGAAAGAAGATAAGTAACATTTACGTTTTACTAACAGTTAGCTTAGCTTTATGTTGATTTTTTTATGCCTTATTTTGTCACATACTTGGACAGTCTAGAAGTTTCATAAATAGCAGGTAGATTTTGTGTCAAACGATATAAGTTAAAATAAGAAGTAAGATCATAATCAGCATGATTCATAACAAAAGACTGAATGTTGTCACTGCTGCTGCTTCTCTAGAGAGAGACCTGCTGATTAGAACAAACCTGAAAGGCCTGATGTAGGCACGGTTGGCAAGTGTTGAAAGTCAGTCAGGTTCTTTTTGATGCAGTTAGTGTCGTAGCTTTGTGTAGAGTTCCAGGGGGTTGTAACCCAGTTAATATACTTTAAGGTTCCAATAAGCCATTAAAGCACCAGAGGTGATAAGTTGTTTTGTATTATTTTAAGTCTCACTAGATGCAAAGAATAAGTTTGACTTGAAATTTTGCATTTTTATTTTTTTATCTTGAGACCAGAGTGAGTATTAATGAAAGGCAATAACTCACTTTAATATGTAGAGATAATATTTAAGGGTAAATAGTTAGTTATCAATAATTAAATTAGGTAGTTTAATAATCTTAGTCATTATGGATTTACATGGCCACTATTAAATTTTATTTTTTAACAATATTTGTTAAAAAAGCCCTATTAAAATCTAAATCTAAAAAAAATTCAGTTTAAAATACATGTAGTTTATGACATTGATTCTTAAACGATATTAGGATAATTACACATTAAAAGCTACAAAACATTTATGTTTTATAACAACAACAGTCAATATTTATCCGTCATTTTAAGTTGAAGCCTTCCCAAACATTTTGCCCAGTTTTTATTGATTTCCTTCTCTTTAAGCATCTTCTCTAACAAATAGAGATTTGTCTCAATATGCAAACCAATGCTCTCGCTAGGTTCTGCATACTTTATATCCTAACTTGTAAACTCTCCACAATGTACCTATGAAGGTTTTCTTGATCTGGTAAAAGTTAAATAGTCCAACCCCCCCCTTCCCCACAGACGTGAAGCATATTATCGCTACGTCTCAAAGTAACTACAATATCAGACAAAGGTTTAAACAAGCCTCTTATTTAAAAAGATAATGTGAAATTATAGTAAAGGCTGAAATCATAAACAATTGGCTAATTTATATAATAATAACTGCACATATCTTTGAAGAATGATTTTCTTTATGTATTCAGTTTCTTTCTTCAACAAGTTTCCTTTTTATTTTAGAATTTTTGGATTTAATTAAGGATTTCTGTTATTCTAAAAAACACTAAATGCATTTAGAATGTACAGAAAAAAGGGTTAATTTTATTCTTTAGTAATATGAACATTCAGAAGAATATGAAATAATATGTAAAGGCCAGTTACAGAGCTAATGTGGTAGAATTTTAGAATTGAATGAAACACCAAACAACAAAATCTAGAAATGGCAAACCTTTTAGAATTTAGAGCTGGCATTGGAAGTATTTAGAAAGGCAGTTGGCAACATAATTTAGTATCCACAGAGATTGCATCACGTGCAAAAATGCCTAGTGCCAGTTATGTGTATGGTGCATTAAGACATGTTAGATTAATCTTTTAAATTGTAAGCTTTCAATTTCTTTATAAATAAAAAAGAAATCCCTTTCTATAATGCCTGCCCATGTGATAAAATTAGAAGCATTTTTGATATTTTCCATGATTGTGTCTAGAGAAAATAACGGGAAGATAAACATGTTAAGATTCTAGTATCAGAAGTGAAACATTCAAATACAGGACAAAGTCCATAATCCAGACTCGTCGGGACTTCGGCGATTGCGGATTAGGGTTTTTTCCGGATTATAGATCATCAATTTAAATCTGGTAAGATGGCATGCAGAAATTATACAACTAAAAATATTAAACCGTAATTTATGAAATAAAGAGCAATTATGATCTAAACAGTATCAAAATTTACAAAAAAAAAGCTTAATATTTATTTGTTTACTTTATTAAACATTTCTTTCAATTTAAGTTGTTTAAGTTGCTTCGTTTTTTGTGCTAAACGTGCATACGTAACATTAAACGCGCATGCGAAAAGCATACAAAAAAAAAAAAGCGTTTGTGGTTTTGAGGCCCGGATTATAGATCATTCCAGATAATGGACGTCCGTCTTACGGACTTTGTGCTGTATTATGTTGTTAGGATCTTAAGTTTTACTAATGTTTATTTTATTTTAAATCTTTACTATCACTTCTTATTTTCTACTTCCGGCCAGAATTAAAAGCTTTAACTTATTTATGCAAATTTGTCTTGCGAACGCCAAGTACTTATAAAGGTAAGAGTGATTAGGAGAGGAAGGAGTGATTAGGAGCAGGCCGCTTGCCATAGCAGTTTTACTCGGTTGCTGGTTGCCTTCAAGGCCAGAGGTTTAATCCTCTTGATAATTTTAAACGTGTTGTAGTGTTAGCAGTTCTCTGTACTACATACGGCTTTCTGTTAATATACGGCCAATCTTCAAGTAGGCACTTGTTTATTAATCCAAAATTAGTTTAGTTAGAGTTTAGTTAATATTTTTATATTCTTACGTTCAGACCATAAGTGGTTGGTCTCTGTATTCCAAAGTCCGGAAATTATTGTAAAGAGTGAAAAATAAAGATTTTCGTATACCCTTCCTGTGTATCTTATCTACTTCCCACATTTATTGAACATAGCTTTAGTAAGCTCCCTGTTCCGAGTCAGGTTTCTGAATGTTCCCCAAGCAAGTAAGGCGGAACACTGAACCTGATAATGTTTCCATTGTTCTTCCAGATGTTCTTCAAAAAGTAAGAAATTCATTGCAAACTTTCTGTAATATACATCCATTACGTGTTGATATCATGGAGACATTTTTCATTTTGTCACATATTTCTCGAATATTCTAGAATGGTGGCTTTATAAAACTTGCCTTCAAATCCCTCTAATCTTTTCAAGCTGCAATGTCTAAAATCCTAAAGAACCTACCAATTCTGTACCAGCAAAAGGCCAGAAATAGTTTGGAAAAAAAAAGAGGGAGGGAAAAAGTGTAAAATGAATTTTATAGAGAAAACTGGTGCATATTCTAAGAATTCTAAATACTCTGAGACAATTACATGGGAAAAACTCTTAGTATGAAAAAATTAAAAAGAAGACATTTTTGATTAATTACATAACTAATTTTGCTTTTGCTTAGAGGTGTTTCGTAAATTATGCTTTATAGCATTATACCTTGTTTATTTTCTGATTCAAAATATTGTGTAATAAGTTGCCAAAATGAAACTTTATAACATGAAAGCGAAATATAAAAATCTTTTATTTTAATGTTATTTTTAAATATAATTTCTTTATTTTAATGTTATTTTTTAAATATAATTTCAATATATTACCAATATTTTAATGAAATTTATCAATGTTACGATGTTTAAAAAAAATCGTCGAAAAATTCTCAGATCACTGAATTAAAAATTTTTCTATAGAAACTGATCTTAAAATCGCCAAAATGTTGATAAGTCGCCAAATTTAGAACCGTTTAATAAAAGAATTCATATCCCCAAAAGCAAAAAGTTGTTTAAGGGTTCTTTATTAGAAAAAATTAATTTCGCTATGCTTATGTTTCACTTCTTGCTTAGAACCTCGAGTATCCCATCATTTATATTAGAAATGGAAACAAATTATAACCCATGAACCCATTCAAAAGATAATCATATACGTCAGTGAATCGCCAAAAATATTCCTCCAAAATGGTAATTCACACTCAAAATGGCAATCGTAAAAACAGACAGAAATTTCAGATGATTAAAATTAAGGACACTCTGCTGATTTTGGCCAAAATTAAGGACTTTTAAGGACCAAAAATCGATTCCAAAAAATCTAAGGACTTTTAAGGACTCTTAAGGACCATACGAACCCTGTGTTTACATTCAAGACATTTATATGAGCAATCAAACAGACAAGAAATGCTAGATACACTAATATCCTCACTTTGGCAATATGTACAAACACAAATAATATATCAAAATAAAAGTATTTACATTATGCACACATCAAAAGAGAATCTAAACCACCTCTCCATTCAAAAGCACTTTTTTCATTCAATTCAGGTCATCAAATAACCCATCCATCCATGCTGAAAGCCAACCTCGATTATAATAGTAAAATGTTACATTGGGAGTGTGACAATGTGACTTTTGTGCTTCATGCTTGCTTCTTGGGCTTCACTGATAATTCCTCTAGATCAGCGATTCTCAACCGGTGGTAAGCAAGAGAAAAATAGGTGGTACACAAAGAAACAAGTATTTTTAACAATTAAATTCAAAAATTAAATATCCTAACATATTGTTTAAGTTTTTTTTTCTCCAACATTCGTAAATTCTCTATTATTCGTCAATAGACTTTAGCAAAATAATCCATTTTTATTTTCACAAATATTCTTTTAGCCACAGCTTTAACAAAATTTGTCATAAATGATGTTTATAAAAGAAGTAATAGAAATGGATGTTGTATTTAATATAAACTAAAAATAAGTTTCTATAAAAAGATAATGGTATCTCATTAATTCTTTTAGATTTAATCGATTTATTAATATGTCTACACTTTACTTAATCACCGTTTCTGGGCTCATATTGCTCTATTTTCAATTCAAATCATTTTTTGACATTGATTTGCTGTCTCTAATAGAAGGCATTTTGTCTTTGTGTTGTTTTATATTCCCTACTTTTCTACGCAATTTGAGAATATTGTTTATTTTTGAAGAACTCGTAATATATTATGCATTGAAATATTTGTGAAAAAATAATAAAACAAACCTTGATTTTCAAAATGGAAAGGCCTGACTAAGCAGAAAAGTGATGATTTACAGGTGATGGATCCAGGACAGTCTACTAGCACTAAGAATATCGAAAAGAAAAGAAAAACATTTTACAGAAAATATATTGAAAGTTGCGGTTTTGCAGCTGAAGATGATGGTTCGGTAAAACCATCGAAACTAGTCCTGTGAAAATTTTGTAGGTATAACGCTGATTTTTGTTGTTTGACTTCTGAATTGGTATATTGAAAGTTATTTATCAGTTGGGTTTACTTGGAATGGAGATGAAATGGGCTGTCAACCTCAATGCGTTGTTTACCGTGAACTATTATTCAATCAAAGTATGTCCCCACCATTTCTTAAAAGACATCTTGAATCTAAGCATGCAAATTTAAAGAATAAATCTGAAGAATATTTAAGAGGAAATTATCGGAGTTCAAAAACAGTAAACAATTAATGAAAGGTTCTGTTACTTCAAGTGAAAAAATGTACCTAATAAGCTTAAGAATAGCCAAGACCGGGCAGGCTCATACGATTGGAGACAACCTTATATTACCAACACCTAAAGATATCGTTTTAACATTATTCAATGAAAAAGCGGCTAAATGAAATTAAAAATATTCCATTAATAAATGATGCAGTAAGTCAATGAATTCATGAAATAGTAAATTCATTAAGAGACATTTATTCCAAAAATAAAAGTATTTTACATTCCAATTTGATGAAAGTACTGATATAATGAACTTTGTTCAATTATTAGTTTACATACATTTTGAAGAAGATAAATTAATTGTTGAAGAATATTTATTTTGTGCATCTCTTCATGATAGAGCAACTGCAAATGAAATTTTCAAAGTAATTGACAATTTTATGCCCGAGAATGATATTCCTTGAAACCGTATGCTGCATGTACCTCCGTGCACTGCCCATATGCAGTGGCGGAATTCGGGGTTTTGCTGGAAAACATTCTAGTGTTATTTCTCAAATAAAGAAAGTTGCATATGAATCTAAATTTACTCACTGCTCCATTCATCGTATCATTTTGAATCAAGCAGTGAAAATTGTTAATTTTATTAAAAGTTAAGCTTTAAATTCAAGAATATTTATGATTTTATGCCAAGAGATGGGCAGTGAACATAAAAACCCTTTTGCTACATTCCAAAGTAAGGTGGTTGGTTATACAGGGGTAACGTAATGAATCATCTTTTTGAACTTCGATCCGAAATTCAAATTTTCTTCTGAGATTCAAAATTTGAATTGCAAAATTGTTTATTTAGTGAATTATGGTTGGAACATTTAACATATTTAGCTGATATTTTTGGAAAGTTAAATGAATTAAATTTAAGATTATAAAGATAAAGTGTTAATTTGTTTACCATCAGAGATAAAATAAATGCAATGATAAAAAAACTCAAGCTAATAATCAAGGAACTGGATAATAATATTTTAAGCTTTTTACCACTTTTAAAAAGTTTTCTAACTGAAAATAATTTTAAAATAAAAGAAAGAATTAGTATCCAACATTTAAAATCATTGTATTTCATTGATAAGTAATTTCAAAACTTATTTTACCGAGGATTATGAAAAAGAAAAACTGGGTTAGAAATCCATTTTTCTGAAAATGTACCTTAAATTTTATCTTGTGAAGAAAAGGAACAATTGATAGAAATTTCCTCTGATCGAACTCTAACTGAAGATTTCAAAAATAGCACACTTGTTAACTTTGAGAATGGCAGAAAAAAAAATTTTAAAAAATTTTAAAAAAAAAAAAAAAAAAAAATTTAAAGGCATTTCAAATGAAACTATTTAATTTATACAGTATAAAGTCCAAGATCCGGACGTCCAATATCCGGCATGGTCTAAAATCTGGACCTCAAAGCCACAATCAACCTTTTTTTTGGGAGGGGGATGCTTAATGCATGTGCATTTAATTTTTCCCCCATAATAAAACATGCAGAATCCTGATTCGTAATTTCACTTTGACACTAAATAAAATACCTCGTTATTGAAGAAACAATCATTTTAGCATAAAATTTCGTGATCAATAATTTGACTCCATAGCTGCATATGTGCTTGGCATACATTTCAAACCGAAACATCGTTGATTTTACACCAAATAATATTTTATACCCCTAATGCCAACCTGGCGAATCATTATTTATTAGATTTGTCTTTCATCATCGCATGTTTATACGCACATGAAAACTTGTGTAATGGCTCATTCAGGAATGCCTAAAAAATTTTTTTATAATTGAATAACAAAGAACATGAAAAATTTTTCAGTTGGCATTACGCTTGGTGGTGATTACAGATTTAAGTTAAATGCACTGAGAAATGTTGACAAGGAAAAATTTAACAAAAATTTCTTTCGATATGCTAAAAATAGATTTTGTTAATTATATTCATAGGCCAAAAGATTACATTTATTGCTATTCAAATTAAGAATAATGATTTGTTATTCACATAAACTCAGAACCAGAACCACAACTCGTACGACTGTACGAGTCGGTAGAATTTAAGGAAGATAAAACTTGGGGAAATATTTAGAACTTAAAGATGTGCTTGTTAGCAGAATTTAGAACCCACAGAGATTGCCTCAGGTGATAAGATATCTAGCGCTGGCCCTCGATAAGCCTTAACCCTTTCGGGCCTAATAGGCACATACGTCCCAGAGATTAGACTTCACACCCTATTGAGTAAATAAAACCCACTTTTAAATGAGTTTTTACAGAATTAGAGAACAAATATATGACTAAAGAAACCTTCCACACTTTTAGATTGCAGATAGCACACTTATGTTTTTGAGCATGCCGATTACTCAAGTTTCCATTTGTCTATTTTTTTAATTTTACAGTAAGTACAATTATATATAAGGCATACTTAGTATGAAATAGTTCTTATTGTTCTTATTGTTCTTATTAAGTAGCAATTTAACATTTTTAATGTCAGATTTAAGAAATTTTGAACAAATTCTTTTGTGAGATATACAGTCAAAAGTCGTTGATCCGGACTTGTCGGGACTTCGGCGATTCCGGATTATAGATCATTAGTTTAAATCTGGTAAAATGGCATGCAGAAATTATAAAATTAAAAATATGAAACCGTAATTTACGAAATAAAGAACAATTATGATCTTTACAATAACTACAATAGCATATCAAATTACAAAAAAAAAAGCTTAATATTTATTTGTTTACTTTATTAAACATTTCTTTCAATGTAAGTTGTTAAGTTGCTTGTTTTTTATGTGATAATACATTCTCTTTAATTCTATAAACAGACATAATTTCTTGTTCAGTTACAAAGTTCCGCTGTTGAAGTCCTATAATTGCTGTGTCGAGAATACCGGCTAATTCATCAATCGAATTTTTTTCTTTTTTAATAACCTCTGTTACTTTCTTCGCTGTCGGAATCGAATTATAATGACGAGGTATTTGATTTAAATCATATCAAAGACGGAGTACATCAAAATGAAATACTACATTTCGTAAGCAATTATAAGCCAAATAAAAATAAAAACATCTGCCCTGAAGATAAGGATAGTGCTGACAGATCAACTTCCAATTCATCGCGCGCCGGACACGCGGCGTTAAAGATAAACAAAGTTTACATAAACAAAGGATATGCCTTTATCCATTTTTTGCAGCAATTCCACTTTTTGTTTAATGAACTCCGAAACATACTTTCGCTTTGAAGATCCGTTACATATTAGTAAATATAAATCGGAAATTCTATTTGACATAATCGAAAGTTCAAGCTTACTTTTATAAAATTGCTCTAACAGTGTGCAAAAAATAATAAGCCGGATCCAATTCGAAGATTAAGGAACAACGCAATCTGCAATATTAACTGAAATAGATAATTAGATAATTTTAGCTTAGCTTATATCATCCGTAACGCCCATTCGTAAACGTATTTTTCGCACGCGCACACGCAAATTCGCAGCCGTAGAGGTCTTACGCGCATGCGTCAACGCGACGCATACGCAGAAAGTTTGTAGCTTTGAGGTCCGGATTATAGACCATTCCAGATTATGGGTGTCCGAATTAACGACTTTTGACTGTATTGTCCCAATTGTATTTAACAGTATGTCCCACCAGTGATCAAATTACTACATGCTCATATATTATGTTTGTATTTATAAAGCATATATGAAAATTTCTGTTGTATATGAATTAGTGCATATGACAGAGTTTATGTTTGTAACATTCACATTATATACTAATAGCATAAATTTTAGTTTTGTTTTCTGAGAAAGGGTAATATTCTAGACGATTGGGACAAATAGTCTCAGTTGACAATACGATTGGGACATATTGTTCCAAAAGATTTCCAGGAAACGGAAAAAGTTAAAAACTTTAAACACACTTCTTTTGGTTACTACACTTCTTTACTGAAAACTAAAAAATTTCGATCGACTAGTTAGTTGGAATTCTCTCGACACAGCAATTACAAGACTTGAACAATGGAACTTTATAAATGAAAAAGAAATTAGATGTATCTATAGAATTAAAGAGAGTGTATTAGCCCAAAAAAATGAAGCAGCTTAAACAACCTACATTAAAAGAAATGTTTAATAACGTAAACAAATAAATAAAGCCTTTTTTATGTAAATATTGATACCCTTTAGATCATAAATACCTCATTATTTCATAAATCACGATTTCAAATTAATTTTATAATATCTATATGCCAATTTAGTAGATTTAAAATCATGATCTAATATCCGGGAAAATCCCAAATCTGGGCGCTATTAAAATGATGATCTAATATCCAGAAAAATTACAAATCTGGGTGCTATTAAAATGATGATCTAATATCCAGAAAAATCCCAAATCTGGGCATTTCCGGATATTAGATCATCATTTTAAATCTACTAAATTGGCATATAGATATTATAAAATTAATTTGAAATCGTTATTTATGAAATAATGAGGTATTTATGATCTAAAGGGTATCAATATTTACATAAAAAAAGGCTTTATTTATTTGTTTACATTATTAAACATTTCTTTCAATGTAGGTTGTTTAAGCTGCTTCATTTTTTTGGGCTAATACACTCTCTGATTCAAGTCCCAATGA